GGTGACAGGGCTATGGGTGGCCAAGGCATGTGAGGAGCAAAGGCTGACCTGTGTATTATGATCCAATAGAAGAGCTACTGTAGCTCAAACCAATGAAAAATGTAATGCTGTTTCTGACAAAAAGGTATCAGAACACACAGTGCATTACAGTTTATTGCATATGGGGTTGTATAGCTGCAGATTGGTCAGGGTGCCCATGTTGATCCACACCCATAGCCAAAGGCACCTACAATGGGTTAATGAGCAACAGAGCAATGTAAGAAGGTGGCCTAATCAGATGAATTCAAGAATGGTTTGAAGAACATAATGAGTTCAAGGGGTTGATGTGGTCTCCAAATTTTCCCGATCTCAATCAAATCAAGAATCGTTGGGATGTGCTGGAAAAACAAATCTGATCCATGGAGTCCCCACTTCACAACTTACTTAAAGGATCTGCTACTGACAGCTTGGTGCCAGATACTACAGCATACCTTTAATGGAGACCCTGCCTCAAAGGGTTATATTGGGAAGTCATATTGTTATAGGTAATCAGTTTATATCCTGTGACATTCACTGCTGCATAGAAACCATTCTGGATCAGTAAAAACCTTTGTAGTGTTTGTCTGCATTATGTTCTTTTGTTGACTCTACTTTAGTGCATATGAATACAATTGTGCATTTCATCAGAATGTCCTACTACTATCTTAAAATTATTGAATAATATTTCACAATGGTGCGTTATTTATAAACATCCATGCCCTAGTCACGTATTTTCCATCATGTAAAGCGGAGCTGTCTCATTTTATTCCTGTAGTGCCCACCAAGGATGACGAGAAGGTAATGTAACTCTCTTCCCCACAGACAAACCTAGTCACTCTGTACTTGAATGTTTTCTTGTCTTAGTGTATGACCTGACCCCTGACCTTCCTTCCGTTTGTTCTTAATTCCCCATCCCTTGGTACCAGCAGATACTCTTCACTGTTCTAACCAATCCACAGATCTTGAATAGCTGTGACATTTGGATTTCTCCTTGAAAACAAAGCCGGCAAACAAGAAATCATCACTCTGACCTAGACTTGTAAAACAAAACTCCTGTTGAGAGAAATGTCTACTTAAACATTACCATTCACATGACCGCTACTAGGTTCATATATTTGCAGCCACAGGAGCATACTGGTATAACCCCCTAAATCAGAAATACCCCATTTAGGTGACTTCGTCTGAGGATTTCTCGATATATTTGGAAGTTACCTAAATTGGGTGTTTTTTGGGCTATGATTTCAAAGTCTGCCAAAAAATTTCTGTAATCAGTGCTTTCTGTCCTTGTTGCAATCTACTGTTTCCAAATCATTTTCTTTCTCCCTCTCTCTCTCTCTCTCTCTCTCTCTCTCTCTATGTATTTACTGTAAAAACATTGGAGGCAGATGTGTCTTGGTTAGCAGCCACCTGCCTGACTTGTTTAGATTTTTCTATTATCTTCACAATACAGTTGCAAGAAAAAGTATGTGAACCCCTTGGGTTAACGTGGAGTTTTGCATGAATTGGGCATAAAATGTGCTCTGAACGTCATCTAAGTCACAACAATAGAAGAACACAGTCTGCTGAACATAATACTACACAAAACTTAGATGTTGCCATGGTTTAATTGCACATAACATGTAAACATTCACAGTGCAGAGAGGAAAAAGTATGTGAACCTTTGGACTTAATAACTGGTTGACCCTCCTTTGGCAGCAATAACCTCAACCAAACAATGCCTGTAGTTGCAGATCAGACCTGCACAACGATCTGGAGTAATTTTGGACCACTCCTCTTCACAAAACTGTTTCAGTGTAGCAATATTCTTGGGATGTCTGGTGTGTATCGCTCTCTTAAGGTCATGCCACAGCATTTCAATTGGGTTGAGGTCAGGACTCTGACTGGGCCACACCAGAAGGCGTATTCTGTGCTGTTGCAGCCATTGTTTTGTTGAATTACTTGTATGCTTTGGGTCATTGTCCTGTTGCATCACCCATCCTCTGCGGAGCTTCAGTTGGCGGACAGATGGTCGTATGTTTTCCTGCAAAATGTCTTGATAAACTCTGGAATTCATTTTCCCATCAATGACGACAATCCGTCCAGGCCCTGAGGCAGCAAAGCAGTGCCAAACCATGATGCTCCCTCTGCCATGTTTTACAGTGGGGATGAGGTTTTGATGTTGGTGTGCTGTGCCTTTTTTTCTCCACACATAGTGTTGTGTGTTCTTCCCAAACAACTCAATCTTGGTTTCATCTGTCCACAGTATATTTTGCCAGTAATGCTGTGGAACATCCAGGTGCTCTTTTGCAAACTTCAAACGTGCTGCAATATTCTTTTTCGACAGCAATGGCTTCCTCCGTGGTGTCCTCCCATGTACTCCATTCTTGTTTAATGTTTTCCTTATTGTAGATGTGTCAACAAAAATGTTAGCATGTGCCAGAGATTTCTGTAGGTCTTTAGTTGACACTCTGGGATTCTTCTTTACCTCATGCAGCATTCTGCGCTGTGCTCTTGCAGTCATTTTTACAGGACAACCACGCCTAGGGAGAGTAGCAACAGTGCTAAACTTTCTCCATTTGTAGACAGTCTGTCTTACCGTGGACACATGAACATCAAGGCTTTTGGAGATACTTTTGTAACCCTTTCCAGCTTCATGCAAGTCAACAATTCTTGATCGTAGGTCTTCTGAGAGCTCTTTTTCTGCGAGGCATGGTTCACATCAGACAGTGCTTCTTGAAACCAGTAAGCCCAAACAGACAGCAGGACAGCCCAAAACAGACAGCAGGACAGCTGTCAGCAACACATCCAATATCATCACACTGATTGGAGTCAAGGTTGGCTCACTCCTGGCTCCAATTAGCTCGGGGAGAAGTCATTAAGCTAGGGCCTCACATACTTTTTCCTCCCTGCACTGTGAATGTTTACATGTTATGTGCAATTAAACCATGGCAACATCTAAGGTTTGTGTAGTATTATGTTAAGCAGACTGTGTTCTTCTATTGCTGTGACTTAGATGACGTTCAGAGCACATTTTATGCCCAATTCATGCAAAACTCAACGTAATCCCAAGGGGTTCACATACTTTTTCTTGCAACTGTAGCAGAGTTCTGTTTAACGAACTGAGAAATTAGACTGGCCATGCATTCAACCAGCAGGTTGAATGAAAAAAAAAAATCTGATTCCCATATCCACATTTTCGAGGTCGATGAAGGAATCGCTCCTGCCGTGGCATTGTGTTTCTGATGGCGGGGAGAATTCTATGGCTATAGCTGGCAGCACTGATTGTTTGGGAAAAAAACAGATAGGCTGGTTGTACAAAAGTTGATTGATACTTGTGTACAACCAGGCTGCCCATACATGTATCAAAATTCATTGGTCCCTAATGAACCAGCTGAATTTCTATCCATCTATGGATTTCCTTGCTGCCCTTAGGACCACTGTGTCACCGGTAGGCAGTTATTATTACAGGGGTAGTGTCTATACCTACAGACCTCATGCAGCAAAGAGCAGATATATCATGCATACAGGCTGAATTTTTTAGAAGACAATGGATATGCAAATTGTCTGTCTATCTATCTAACTTCATTTTATTTATCTCTTTAGAAACATTTACTGGACCCTTAATATTCATTTCTGCATAGATTGTACCCAAATATGTGATTTGACCTTTCCCAGTATTAAATAAAAAGTCTTGTTTAACAAGCAGCATCAAATTGCCATATGTGTATTGAATAAAAGGGTTTACAGTAATTGATAGAAACAAATGTGAATATCCAAAATTATGATATGTTGAAAACAGTTTTTGAAGTCGAGTATTATGGTCAATGAATCAGGTATTTAGCCAACTCATTTGTGGATTTTTCTGCTCTACTGTAAAAATTCTGTTCATAGGGCAATAGGGATTGGTAACAATCTAGGAGGTATTCAGAAAAATCATATTTTTTTTTCACAAATCCTAATTTCTTTAATTTCTTCTATCTATCTATCTATCTATCTATCTATCTATCTATCTATCTATCTATCTATCTATCTGTCTGTCTGTCTGTCTGTCTGTCTGTCTGTCTGTCTGTCTGTCTGTCTGTCTATCTATCTATCTATCTATCTATCTATCTATCTATCTATCTATCTATCTATCTATATCTATCTCTCTATCATCTATTTATCTATCTATCTACACTATATTGCCAGAAGTATTGGGACACCTGTTTTTACACGCACATGAACTTTAATGGCATCCCAGTCTTAGTCCGTAGGGTTCAGTATTGAGTTGGTCCACCCTTTACAGCTGTAAGGCTGTCCACAAGGTTTAGGAGTGTATCTTTAGGAATGTTTGACCATTCTTCCAGAAGCGCATTCGTGAAGTCAGGCACTATTGTCAAATGGGAAGGTCTGGCTTGCAGTCTCTGCTCTGATTCATCCCAAAGGTGTTCTTTCAGGTTGAAGTCAGGACTCTGTGCAGGCCAGTCAAGTTCCTCCACTCCAAACTCACTCATCCATGTTTTAATGACCTTGCTTTGTGCACTGGTGCGCGGTCATGTTGGAAAAGCAAGGGGCCACCCCCAAAATGTTCCCACAAAGTTCGTAGCATGAATTGTCCAAAATGTCTTGGTATGCCAATGCCTTAAGAGTTCCCTTCACTGGAATTAAGGGGCCAAACCCAACCCCTGAAAAACAACCCCACACCATAATCCCCCCTCCACCAAACTTTACACTTGGCACAATGCAGTCAGGCAGGTACTGTTTTTCTGGCAACTGCCAAACCCAGACACGTGCATCAGATTGCCAGGTGGAGAAGCATGATTTATCACTCCAGAGAACATATCTCCACTGCTATAGAGTCCAGTGGCTGCGTGCTTTACACCACTGCATCTGACGCTTTACATTGCACTTGGTGATGTAAGGCTTGGATGCAGCTGTTTGGCCATGGAAACCCATTCCATGTAACTCTCTACACACTGTTGTTGTGCTAATCTGAAAGCCACATGACGTTTGGAGGTCTTCAGCTATTGACTCTACAGAGTTCAGCGCACTGTGTGCTTCAGCATGTGCTGACCTCCCTCTGTCATTCTATGTGGCCTACCACTTCATAGCTGAGTTGCTGTTGTTCCCAGTTACTTTCACTTTGTTATAATACCTCTAACAGTTGACCGTGGAATATTTAGTAGCAAGGAAATTTCATGGATAGACTTATTACACAGGGGGCAACCTATCACAGTATCACGCTTGAATTCACCAAGCTCCTGACAGCGACCCATTCTTTCACAAATGTTTGTAGAAGCAGTCTGCATGCCTAGGTGCTTGATTTTATACAAATGTGGCAATGGAGGTGATTGGAAAACCGAACCCAATGAATTGCAGGGGTGTCCCAATGCTTTTGGCAATATAGTATATCTATCTATCTATCTATCTATCTATCTATCTATCTATCTATCTATCTATCTATCCCATCATTGCAGCCACTATTATAAGTAAATACAATATGGTAACATCACAACACTAGGGATGAGAAAATGTGTTTGGTTTGTTTGGTGTTTGTTGAAACCTGCATGAGGTCTGAAAATTCCAAACTTAGAATCAAAGCCCATTAAAGTCTATGTGGGAGGGGGGGTGCATATTTTGTAAATACAGTCTTTCCATTTTCAAGACTAATAGGCAATGGAATCTCAAAACTGGCATGAGTTGCTGGGCACTGCCATGGGAGACATGTAACAATGTGAAAAATAAATACTTTACAAATGGGAAAGGATCCTTTTAATTTTAATTCAAGGACAACAGGGGAAGAAAACCCAATCCTTTGAACCTCATGCTAAGGAGATGTCTTTAAGCTGTATGTGGATTTATAAACTCTGGCATCACGTGCTTTGGATGTATTTTTTTTTAACTTTTATATTTGTCTTGGTGTAAATACAGCAGCACCCAATCTAATTAATCTCAATGTGAAAAAATCCTTTTTTTTTAATGTTGTTTTGGCTGACATGCCTGCTTTTTATATCCAGCAGTAATAGGCCTGAATTGAACAGTGGAAGTAAGAGACACAACAGATCCAAAGCCTATAGGAAAGTTTACTCTAATAATAAAAAAGAAAAGCAAAGCCCTCAAATTTGGACAAATTGTCCAGTGGCAAAACATTTTGATAGTATTGTTGTGGGCTTTTTTTGCAGTACCACACTACATTGTCTTAAAATTGTAATAAAATGTCAAATGTGTACAAAACCACTTTAGAACTCCAAATTCCCTAAACTGCCTCCCTACCCTCCACCAGCATGTGGAATGCCATGAAGCAGGGGAGGAATACGATGTGGAGGAACATTGTGGTGCTTGCAGTGAGGTGGAGAAGGGTTGCTGTGCTTGTGGTGAGGAACAGGAGAAAATTTGGGTTGGCTTCAAGTGGGGAATTTAACCCCTTTCCTATACAAAGGTAAACATTGGGGAATCTGCTGCCATATGCTATAGGGAACACAAATTGTCGCACTTTGAGGAGGTGATCTGCAAAACCATATTGCCCCCTCACTGGAGTCATAGCTGCACTGGGTGAGCCTACAACCATAGATTGGGGAAGGGCAGCCAGCAGTAAATGGAAGGTGGGGAAATCCTACAGCAACGGGGAAGGGCATGTAGTAGCAGCACAAACATACTGCATACTCCTAAAGCTACAGGCTGCACTCACTTCTCCTTTATTAAAATGAATGATATAAATGAGTACTGTGTGCCTTGTTAAAAATTCAAGTAAATGTCCAAAGTTTGACCACTTTTGGTCAAATTACTTGTTTGTTGATTGTGAAAAGTTAACCTCTTCATAGATTCACTAGTTTGACAAGTGACCCAGAGAGAAAAGCACTAGAAAAATATTTTCATTATTATTTAATCATTCAGTTAATGTTTTCTGTAACTAGCTGTCAGTCCTTTTTTTTGGGAGTTTGTTGTTCATTTTCTGGTGGATCACTGGGTGTTTATCTGAACTTTTTATTGGGGGGGGGGGGGGGGGGACTGTGAGGTTTTTTTATTTGCCTGGCATGCAGTTTAACTATTACCTTTGAAAGTCAACAAAAGATGTAATTTGACCCCTTCAAACAATGAATTCTTCAAAATATTGATATGAAAATATGAAAACAGCCATCATAAATCTACCTTTATGGTGTAAATGTGCTTTTTTTTTTCTTTTTAAGGTGTTCCATGCCCTCGTGAACCAAACACAGGCAGTGATAGCAATCCAGGTTCCTAGGCCTAATCATCATCTTGTTACTATGCAAAAATAACAAAAGCTACTAGCCCTTCTGCAAAGCAGAGAGAGCGTGCAGACAGCAACTCAAAAAGCAGAGAGAAGCACAGAATCTGGATCATGAAATTAGCTGTCATAGACTAGACGTTGTGTTCTGTTCATGGCTGGTATGTATAATCCTTGTACACATTTTATTATTTACAAATTTACACATTTTATTTTTTTTCCTCATAATGCCTGGCAACTTTACCTTGCAAGTGAAGGTAGTACCCAGTTAGTCTTTCCATCCCTGCCCATGTTTGCTTCAAAAGGGCAAGGGCGGCGATGTTATTTGGGTACTACCTTTACTTGCAAGATAAGGTTGCCAGGTTAGGCACTGGCTTCTCAGAGGGAATCCCACCTTGTAGGTAACAGCAAAGGGAAGAATTTCTCCAATGGTTCTAAAAGGGTAGTTTCTAAAGTGCAGCGAACCAGCGAACCAGATTAAGTCTTAATCAAAGACTGGAAAGCCAATGATCCCTGAAACAAAATAGAAAAGGCAGGCCTTTGACCTTGTGCTGAGAGCCAAACACTTCTTGCTACCTGCCACCAGATTTTTTTTAAGTTTTACATTAGTTACAGATGAACTTTTAATTATTTTCAATTTCCTATTTACATTTTTTTTCCTCTCTGCCCTGGTCTAACACACAATTGATAACAAGGTTGTAACTAAAACAATTGATATCTATAGATTTCTGGGTGGTGGTTAAGGATGTACCTCTGGCTGGAAGTAGCCCAATATGTGCTTGAAGTATTAGTCTTCCCTACTACACATGGTATATCAAAGAGGGCCTTCACATGCACATCCCAGACTGCTGATGTATAATGCAAATACAGTCTAATATTATTACGCCATATATTATTGCAATACAGCTGTTTCAGGTTATTTGTCAGTCATCAGCATAGCGTAGAGAAACCATGGCTTCTAAGGAGTAAGGCTTGAGACCCAACAAGTCAGTATAACCATATGAGATACAGTGAGAAACAGAAGTATTTGAACACCCTGCGATTTTGCAAGTTCTCCCACTTAGAAATCATGGAGGGGTCTGAAATTCACATTGTAGGTGCATCCCCACTCTGAGAGACAGAATTAAAAAAAAAAAATTCAGGAAATCACATTGTATGATTTTTAAAGAATTTATTTGCCTTGCACTGCTGAACATAAGTATTTGAACACCTGAAAAAATCAGTGCTAATATTCGGTACAGAAGCCTTTGTTTGCAATTACAGAGGTCAAACGTTTCCTGTAGTTCTTGACCAGGTTTGCACACACTGCAACAGGGATTTTGGCCCACTCCTCCACACAGATCTCCTCTAGATCTGTCAGGTTTCAGGGCTGTTGCTGAGCAACACTTTACGATGTTCCTCACTGTATGATGAGAAGAGACTAAGACAAATAACAAGCCTTCACTGTAATCAGTGCACACCACAGTAAAGCCTTCTTAAAACAGGTGAAATTCATCATCATATATTCCGAAATTAGACATGACTCCTCATTTTAAGACAGTGGTCAAAACCATGTAAATTAATGCTTTACATCCATTGGCCAGATGCACATCCAGAATCGCTTCTTGTCATAACCTGTAAGGTTATATTCTCTTGTTGGGTTGCAAGCCCTAATCGATAAAAGCCATGGTTTTCATACACTGCACTGATGATGACAAAATAGCTTGCATGCAGTTTGGAATAAATGGCTCTTTAATGTCAGGCTATATTTACACTATACATCATTGGTTCTAGATGAGCCATAAGACCTCTTTGCTATGGGGACCTGGGTTTTCATATGATGAAGGTGGGTACAGCTCAGGGCTATAAGCAATACTAGCTGCAGTCAATAGTCAAGTCATAGTTGCAGAAATGTGTAGCCTACATTTTCCCAATAAAGAAGAAATGCAAGTAAATGTGCTTCATTGTATAAACCATAGTACCATATTTAGTATATCACATATAACACAGTACTTAAAAGTCAGCAAAACTGCAAAAACATAATTCCTGACATTTTCTTTTGCCCCTGGGTCATAACTTTAATTGGTGTTTTAGATTATTCCCATTATGGCTACATTGATTGCAAAGCAAACCTCCCAGTCTAGTTGACTTGTGGATGGCACGCACCTGCTCCCTAGCAGGACACAAGAGGAAATAGTGAAGTGTTGTATGGGGAATGGGGTAGGGGAATACTGAAGGGGAAGTAGAGCAATAATACAGGGGGAAGCTGTAGGTGTAGGAGAGGAACATTGTAGGGGGGAGAATCCCTGTACAGGGGAGATAATTATTCCCACCTAGGTCTTCAGCTGAGGAGAGACAGAGAAGTTGGGAAGAAAAAAAGGGGGGGGTATGAAGCAGATGAGGGACTTGAGTCAGCCTTATAACATTTTCTGATAAGTAATAGATATGCTTTCAGTTACACACTTTATATGCTGTTTATAAACCACCACTCAGTTCTGAGCTGTTACATCTTAATACAACCTTGCAGCTGCAAAGTTACTTCACAGTTGTGGGGTTCAGCCAGGTCAAGCAAACATCTATTAAAACATGTTCTTAGTGTAAAATAAAAAAAAGACAACAACTGCCATTTTTACACTCGATGGTGAACCAAAAGAAACAAGTAGCCAAACATTTTTTAGTAAAAGCGGATAAAATTAGATGTTCTCATATCATTAAACATGTACCCTTTAGCTTTGTGGATTTTTATAAAAGCATCTGTTACAAGTAAGGGCTCCTGCAACATATGGAACAAAGTATGTCACCAATAAGGAACTTTTTATGGGTCTTCAGCTTCTTATTTTTAGACACTAATATTCTTTTAATTGGGCTGTCTGTTGGCTGAAACGTGTGAAAGTGAAACTTAGTCTCTATCCTTTGTCCATTCAATATAATTGAATGGGTCATCTACTCCAGGGGCAGAGTAAACCCTGTATGGCAAAAGTATACTTAGAACTCTTCAGGAAGTCTGTTTTGCCAGTAATCCATCCTAAAAGATATATTATGTTCATAGAGAGTCCTAGAGTGGGAGGAGCATCTATCACCATGTCCATTCAGAGCAAAGTGACTGCTTCTCTTGAGGAATTCTTCATGCCCTTTTCTTTTATCTATGGAAGAAAAAAAGTATTTCTCTCCATCCTCCCAAGAAGC